AGAAGATGAGCAGCCTGACTTTGTTTTTTTTTCTCTTTTTGCTCCCTTCCTCCGCCCTTCTAGGACACAGCTTTCTACCAGCTATATGCTGGCTTCTTGAACACAGCTGGTTCCCTGAACTTTTTCACAGGGAACCGGCTATTTCACAGGAGACTGCCAATTACATGATTTCCTTGAAATCTGAAAATTCATGTATTTGGTAGGTTTCTAATTATGGTCAATGATCCTAATAAGTACATCCAAAATAAACGTAATGAAAAGTAGCTGTTTGTCACAGGGCACTTAGGTGCCTGCTCCTAAAAGAGCAGAAATTGCCTGGAAATAGCCCAAAGATCCAGACAGGAGCCCAGGTGCAGATTGCCATGGCAACCAGCTACTGAGGAAATTAGCCTGCGCCTGCACCTGGTCAGCTGGCTGTAACGGGCAGGGCCCTGGGCCCATATAAACCCCAGGACAGGGACTAGGAGGCAGTTTTCTGCTGGTGGCCAAGGGAGAAGGAGCCCTCCTGAAGCAAGTGAAGGGAAGAGGCCTCACTAAGTTCTGCTCCGGGCAAATGTAGAGGGGCCGAGCAAACCTTATGTAGCTTGTGTTATGTTATAGCCCAAGGACTTATGCTTTGTTTGCCATTTTGTAAGATAGGTCATTTGGGTGAGGCTATTTGGGGAAGGAGGAGGCCTCATTGGGGGTCCATGGCAACGTGGGGTCCCTGGCACCAGAGAAGAGTGCAGCTTCTGGGGTGCACAGACCCTGGTGCCAGAGAAGGGCACAGAGACAGGGGCTGCAGAGAGCCCAGTGAGGACAAGGGGATGAATTATAATGAGGCCTAGACACAACTATGCCAGTACCATCTGCAAGGCTTGGGGCGTGGTAAAGGGGTGGTTGGAGCCATGTATATACCCCATAAGGCTAGGGTGCCTCCGAAACACCCATCATGAAACAGGACCTACAAGGGGTCTGGGAACCCACAGGGTGCAGAAAGTCCATCAAACCATGTCCAAGAGGACTTAAAGGCAGCCTCCCTATTTATATTTTCCATGAAAGACATGGCAGGAAAGAACTGAGGGTGCCCATTGAGCCAAATTGGCACAGTTGAGGGGGCCTTAGAAGATCACGGCCACCCTTGAAGACCCCATCCTGTGACACTGTTGTATCTGCATCTGTGTTCCTTTCTTTTCCAACAAGTAAAATGCTACATAATGTGATTTAACTTTGCTTCAGAAATACACCTATAATTATAGAGAATTCTTATAAAAGGAAGAGAAATGAGTCCACGAACAGACCTACAACAGACACTAATGCTCTTTTAACATAGACTTACTGGATATAAATAAGTTAATTAAGCGACTGTGGCACTGATGCCTACACAGTTGGATGGGTAAAAAACTGGCTGATGGGGAGCAGCCAGAGAGTAGTGGTGGTTGGGTTGTACTCAACCTGGTGAGATGTGAGCAGTGGGGTCCCCCAGGGCTCACTCCTCGGGCCCACACTATTTAACATCTTCATCAGCAACTTGGACAAGGGGATTGAAAGCACATTGTTCAAGTTTTCTGATGACACTAAGATGTGGGGCAAGGTGGGCACACTTGAGGGGAGAGAGAGGCTGCAACTAGATTTAGACAGACTACAAAAGTGGGCAGATGAGAAAAGGATAGGGTTTAATGTAGATAAATGCAGGGTGCTGCACCTTGGGAGAAGGAATCCACAGCATACATACAGGCTGGGGAGTTCCCCTCTTGAAAGCACAGAGGCGGAAAGGGATCTTGGAGTCATTATTGACTCCAAGATG